TACCACATTACTTAGATAATTTGTTACTGTTCCATTCTTCCCATAACCTTTTCAATTGTAGATAACAGTATTGATTTAAAATGCGATGAAAGCATGCTTGCCCTACAATGAACACATTGTCCTTGCTGTGCCGTATTGTGTGTCTTCTAAGGGCTGCCTACTTGCAAACTATTGGGGGGTGGGACCTTTTGACTCAGTGTTGCAGGCTCATTAAATGGACAGGGTCAATTAGTTTGGGGCAGTGGTTCTAATTTTTTTATTTGTGTACCCCCTAAAAGATTTCAAATGGAGGTGCAGAGCCCTTTGGACCATCTGTGGACTCCAGGGGTCTGCGGACTTCAGATTGAAAACCACTGACTTAGGGTGTAAAAACAACAAAAACACACCACAACCAAACAAACAAACAAAAAAACCCATAGATTTACACTTCAACTACAGAGCCATATGGGCCCCATGTAGGGGACCGGAAACTCAGGGAGGGCCCCCTTTGTGGAGTTCTTCCATGAGGGAGGGAAGGAAGCAGGAGAGTCAATCCTCAAAACCAGCAAATCTCCCCCCCAAGATCCATGAGGAACATGTGGAAGACAGGGCCATCTTCATGGAGGATCTGTGACTGTCCAGGCTCCTGTCAACAACAGCTCCTTCAGAGCAACTCCCCTCACGTTCTGCTAGACCTGTAATCCCTCTTCCCCTGAGAACGGGGGGTTATCCCATTCCCCCCCTCCATGTGTATATGAGTAAGTTAAATGCTGAATGAGTCACTATGAACCTACTCACAAAAGTTTGGTGTCCTGCTACATCTAGGCCACACTGACTGTGTCCTGTCCCCTCTCTTCTCTCTCACCCCAAAATGATCATTTGTGGGGGTTGGGAAGTGAAGAACAATGCCATACGTAGCCTGTCCCTTGAGTGCCCTGACAGAAGCAGAGGGTACAACGTAGCTTTTGTTATCTGGCTGGGGAGGTGAGCTTGATTCTAAATAGGATATTCACTGCTAAGGAAAAAAATACATTATTATTAATAAAATTAATGGGAATAGCCAAAAATAGACATTACTCATACAGAACCATTGTTTACATAGAGTGATCAGCTGCAGAGGGAACAGAAATTGCCAGCACAGAGTAGGGCTTATTATTACTCACAACAATGGAGCATGAACAAGGAAGTAAATAAAACAGGCCCAGAGGAATTAAGGATCACAGGATAGAGGGAAGGCCTAGGAAGACAAAAGGAGCAGGAGAAATCCAGTGGGGGGCGTGGGGGGGGGGAAAGAGTTCTTCTATTCCAGGTTCTAAGAAATTTCTGAAACAATACAAAGCAGAAAAACAACAAGACAGTGTATTAGACAGCATCCCTTAGAAATAGCTATTGATGTAGCTGTCAGGGAGATCCACCTACATGATAAAAATCTCTGTATTTTAGGAGAAGCCCCCTGGAATGTTTTTCCTACTATTCCAAACGCATCTTGGGACTTTCTTTTTTTGGTTGCTGTTGATTTCCCCCCCCCCGGCAACCATGCTTGCCTCAATCTTATTCTTGATACTGGCCATAAACCATTCTTTAGAATGGATTGCCAAAGGCCTTGACAACAACTCAAAGTAAGTTTTATTTAGGAGGTATGATTTAATGGAATGAAAATTTGTATGTCCGTAGTGCTGACCATGTTCATGAGAAGTCAAAAAACCAAAAGACATGACATCATTGTTCTTGTACAGTGACAAGGCATTTGGAATTTGTAACACTATGAAATCATATAGGGCCTGATCTAAGTCTCAGTGAATCATAGAATCATAGAATATAAGGGTTGGAAGGGACCCCAGAAGGTCATCTAGTCCAACCCCCTGCTCGAAGCAGGACCAATTCCCAGTTAAATCATCCCAGCCAGGGCTTTGTCAAGCCTGACCTTAAAAACCTCTAAGGAAGGAGATTCTACCACCTCCCTAGGTAACGCATTCCAGTGTTTCACCACCCTCTTAGTGAAAAAGTTTTTCCTAATATCCAATCTAAACCTCCCCCACTGCAGCTTGAGACCATTACTCCTCGTTCTGTCATCTGATACCATTGAGAACAGTCTAGAGCCATCCTCTTTGGAACCCCCTTTCAGGTAGTTGAAAGCAGCTATCAAATCCCCCCTCATTCTTCTCTTCTGCAGGCTAAACAATCCCAGCTCCCTCAGCCTCTCCTCATAAGTCATGCGTTCCAGACCCCTAATCATTTTTGTTGCCCTTCGCTGGACTCTCTCCAATTTATCCACATCCTTCTTGAAGTGTGGGGCCCAAAACTGGACACAGTACTCCAGATGAGGCCTCACCAATGTCGAATAGAGGGGAACGATCACGTCCCTCGATCTGCTCGCTATGCCCCTACTTATACATCCCAAAATGCCATTGGCCTTCTTGGCAACAAGGGCACACTGCTGACTCATATCCAGCTTCTCGTCCACTGTCACCCCTAGGTCCTTTTCCGCAGAACTGCTGCCTAGCCATTCGGTCCCTAGTCTGTAGCTGTGCATTGGGTTCTTCCGTCCTAAGTGCAGGACCCTGCACTTATCCTTATTGAACCTCATCAGATTTCAGAAGTTAATGGAAAGACTCTCATTGACTTAAGTGGTAGTGAGAGCAGACCTATACTGTACTTTTATTGTAAGATACAGTTCCTTATCCCACATACATCATATAAATGTGTACTATAGTAGACTGTCAAAGTCTGCAATGATACAGTCTTTCTATAGAATAGTGACAGTATTTCTATAATCACTTAACAATGCTTCAAAGTTAGGATCTTGACAAATGTCACACAGGAAGACAGCAATAGACCAGGGAATAGAACTCTGGAGTGCTGATTCCCCATCTTTATCCACTGGATCATACTGCCTCAGGATACATCAGGATTTGTAAGCCAACATTTTTTGCAACCAGTGAAACAAATACAGGGCCCTTTGCTGTATGCAAAAACAAGAGGGTCATACCAACTACCACACACACACGCTCGGTTAAACTTCTAACATTAAGGCAAATTCTCATAATCAACTTCTAACACTAAAGTTTAAAGCCACCTTTGCAACACCCAGATTTTAGGCTGCTAACAGGGCTAAAAAGGCTTCTGGCATAAATTAAAACAGTTGTGGGGTGCTCTAATTTATGTCAGCCTCCCCAGGGCTGCCTATGGGCTGCACAGAAGCCCCGTGTCCCTGGGGTGATAAGCACAAGCCACACACACCCTCCCACCCCTAGCATAACCCCTGCCCTGGAGCCTGTGAGGGGACGCATAGAACATTTACAGTAGCCATATTCTGCTGAGCCCAGGGCATACTGTGGTCCTGGAATGGCACACAGGGGCCAGAATCAGCCCCATTATTCTTCCTTGTTGTTAAATCAGATATTCTTGCCAGGCCACCTTGATCTGATTTTCTTGCTAACCCTGACTGCCATTCATTTTATTCCACCCATGCACATTTTCCTGAACTATCTTCAAGATATTTTCTCTTATATCAGGGAGCACATGTTTCTGCATTCTGGACTGAGGAACGACATACCTGCTGACAAAGTTACTTCGCTATTATCTCTGATCTCCAGAAAGCAGGATTTGTTAATCCACATTGTGACAACTATTAAAATCAACATGATTTTGTAGATGCACAAGCATCACATTTGCAGTTGAGATAGGATTAAGTGGCAATAAAACAGTAGCGGGTGTTTGTGGAAATAGCAGACAATCTCAATGGCAACCTGTTTCCTGGTGACCAATACACTCTTCGTACTTTGTTTAAAAGTGGATTGGTTTGTCATTCCCCCCCACACACCCTTCCCTTTTCCCAAAAGGGACATGAATTTCAAAGTTTGGATTGTTAACTTGCAGAGAGCAGAATGTCTCCAATTTTCTGCAGATAACTCACAGATTGGCTGAGCTCTCCCTTTTCTCTTCTGGCCATATCTGCTGGATGGTAACTTGTAATACTTTTTACAAGGACAACCTTCAACTTTTCAAATAAATATGCTCCATTCAGTGCATATTAATTATAGTGAAAGATGAGTGAGGCTGAACAGAAAAATGGATTTCAGTTTCAACCTTTCTTCCCCACAAAGTTTGGGGCTGATCATAAACTAGATTTACTTCAACTCAGAGATAAGCAAGGCAGCTGCAAAGCTGGGATCAGCGGTCTGATTCCAAAGACCTCCACTCCCAAAGTTTAGGGGGCATTTGGATCTGGACCTGTCCATGGTATACTTGTTTTCAAAGGAAAAAAAGTTTACATAAACTTCATTAATCTAGCCAATTAGAAAAAAAAAAGTTATAAGCTAGGTTTGGGTAGTGTCCTTGAATCCCCATTTCTATTTCTGTAGTTTTACAAACACATTTTCCTGCTTTTAAAGATATTTTTCCTCTCCCCTGTTGCAGTGGGAACTACTCACATAAACAAACATGGGGCGCGGGGAAGCGGGGACAGTAAATTAAGGCCCTGATCCTGAGATCGGGGTTGCTGGCATGCACCTAATTACAGGATCAGGGCCTAAGGGGAGAAAACAGACGTGGACTACACAGAAAGGGCCTGATCATGTCCTTCCTTGAACCTCAGGGAGCCGTTTACACCTGTGCGAAGTGAGCACGAAACTCCAGTGTTCTGATCCGGTACCATTTTACACCCGGTTTGCACAGGCGTAAACAGCACAACCCGGTGCGCGCCGACGGCAAGTCACCCCAGTATGTGCTGGCCGGTGCACCAGGTACACGAACGGGACACAAAGTAAGGATCCGAGTGTGTGTGGTGGGGGTGATTTCAGACAAATGGGGTCAGGCTGATGGCGCTTCTCCCGGGGCAGCCAGCGAGCCTGGCGCGGCTCGGATGCATCCTCGACCCCACTTGCCAGTGCCGGGGTCGCAAGCAGCTGCCCAGCCGCTCCAGAGCCGGTGCAGGGCACTCGCCGGGGCGCAGGCTCCCTGGGAAGCCGGGCACCTGGCAGCGGCTCCGCCCGAGCGCGGGCGGACGCGGAGTCTCTTACCTGGCGGGCGGCGCGGGGCAGAGGCGGCTGAGCGCGCGCGCGCGGCTCTCCCCCGGGGAGCTCATCGCACCGGCAGCAGCGGGACAGCAGCTGAGCCCCGTGCCCGGGCAGCCGGCAAACCCGGACTGGATCTCGCACGCGCCCTGCCCCATACTAGTGCTGTGCCTAGGCTCCCGCCCCTTATAAAACCCGGACTGGATCCCAGCCCAGTGACCAGAACAGCTGCTGGGCCCAGGCCCCAGCAGCCTGAAAACCTGGCCTGGATCGTTACATAGTGACCCACCCGAGCTCCCCCAGGGCTCACACACCTATTCGACCCACAGGGCACCCTGCCCAAGGACTGGCAGCCTTCATGCCAGCCAAACCAGCCTCCAACAGGGAACTGAAAAACCTGAGGTCCCTCTGCCTGGCTACCGTAACGGACCCCTGATGCAGGGTGTCACACCAGTGTTGTGATACCCCAGCCCCCATGTGCCTAGGAAAGTGCTGGGTCCACCATGAGCTTGGAGGCAAGTGTTGTAAGTGCTCCATGCTCTAGGTTCTACAGGCACTGCCTGCGGAAGGGGGGGGTCCCCATAAACTGTCACAGAGTCTGAGGAATAACAAAGGGTTCATTAACTGGGGCTGCCATAAGCTAACGATGCTTATACCCTTGGCACAATTAACAGTCACAAGCAAAAGAAGGACCAATGGTGCCTAGCCAGCCCCTAGGGACAGCCCAGTCGAGGGGTATGAAGATGGGGCTCCTCTGGCCTTGTGGCAGTGATACACCCTCCCAGGATCAATCACGCACTAGCTTGCAGATCCTTGGCCAGGGCTCCATTCTTCTGTCCATCTTCTTTAGACTCATCCACACAAACCCCCTCTTTAGCAGGCTGCTCCCAAACATCGGCCTGACATGGCTGCCGCTGATTCCCTGTCAGCCTTTCAGGCCAGGTCCCCAAGCTGCCCATATTCTCTTCCCAGCCAGCTGCTAGGCTGCTACTCCTGCCCATCTCCAAAACCTTGGTCCCCTCTGACCATATGTTGTACTTCCCTTTCATGAACAGGAGGGACCATGGAGTCCTCTCCCAGCTGGGTGTGAATCTGCGAGCCAACAGTACCCAGCAGTGAGCCCGTGGGTTCAGAATTTTTCTGTCATCAAACACATTTATGCATTATTATTATTATTATTTTAAATCAGGAGACTAATATTAAGTGAACATGGACAATTGTGAGGCATAAGAGCTGTCTTCCTTATGGTCCTGCCAGTGTCTCTGTTCCCTTTTAGGCACCATCATTTTCAGAGGAGTAGTTCATGCATTGTTTCACGTGGGAGGCATCATTCTTAAAGGCGCTGAGGTTTTGGAGGCAACATTGAGAACCTGGGAACTCCAAAGCAGCCTGATGCTGAGGCTAAAGGCCTGATATTAGGCATGTATGATGCCAAGTCTTCTCCTTCTACTCATACTCATTGTTCCAAGGTACCTCTAAAACAAACAGGAGATACAGCTGATTACTGTCCAGTGGGCTTAGTGAAATGGTGTTTGGAGCCCAATCCTCAGTGAGACGGTCCAAAATCCACTGCCTCAGCAACTGGCATTCTTGCTGGCAGACTCAGAAGAGAGGCCAAGGGGTGAATGGACTTGGAGACTGGACTAGCTCTGCCAGTATCCAGCTACATGCTGTGTGAGGAAGAATTATTTCTAACCATACCCCCTTTTAATATTAGTTAAAATACAGTTATTCATTTAGACTGAGATTTTCAAAGCCTCCTAATGGATCCACATCTTCTCGGCAGCTTTGAAAATCTCAGCATGATGTTTTAGTGAGAAATACTGGCTATTGGTCCAGTTCAATAGCCGTTACTCATATAAGTAGATCGACTGATTCACTCGTCAGAGCAAGGGCTGCAAAAAGAGACCCTATGTGCAGAAAGGCACCAATGGGTGCCTTGTTCTGATACCACTTACTAACATTCAGCTGTGAGTTTTCATAAATATGGAGACCCAGAATTCACATATTGCTGCATTTTTCAGTGTAATTATTACAAAATCAACATGAAAAACCTCCCTTCTCCTGATGCTCTGTTGTAGCTGCACCGTCTTTTTGTTCCTAAATTAAGGCCAGTTGCCAGTTCCACATCATAACTGGCCTGTTGATGACTATAATTTATGCAAGTCATCTAGGAAGTTTCTGCTTCCTACTCAGGGTAAGGTTCTGCATGGTGCTGAGCACTTCCTGGGAATGATGACTCCACAGATCCTAATGAGGTCAACGGGAGAGAAGGATGCCCTTAAACCCTTTCAGATTTAGACTGTATTTATCATTTTTCTTTATTATGTCATTTTTAAAGAAAAAAATATACCTGAACAGGTGAATGTTGCAGTTATTTCCATTGCCAATAGAATCAAAAACTGACTCAGAAATTTAACATATAACATGAAAACAGGTACTGATTAATAAGTATTTCTATATTAGTCAGAAAGCTCTAAGTAAGAAGAGCATATGGCATTAAGAATATCTAAGCAATTAGATCTAACATAACAACTCTTTGCAGAGCAGCCAATTCACTCATGCCTTCCACCCACATTTCTGTTCAAGGTGGTATAGTGAGTTACTCTGCAAGAAAATGTGACCATCTTCCCTCACATGGTTTCCTGAAGGAAAATAAGGTGAGATAATAGGAATCAAACAACAGGGAACCTCTTAAGTGGGGAACACCCTTGACCTGGCACCCAGTAGGCTGTCAAAGTTTACTCCTATTGGGCTGAATCTAGGATCAATGGGTACACTCAGACCTTAAAGATGCTAGCCTAGGCAGGAAGGAGTGCAGGTTGAGCAGGTTGTCAGCAGTGGCTGGAACTGAGTCCCTGGCAGAAAGAGACACAGAAGCTGCATCAAGTAGTTTCTGTTTTCCCCAGCCTAGAGCTGAAGGTGACTGGGCTGACTGGAGCTTGCCAAAGCTTGCTAAGAAAAATTAAGGTGTAGGTGAAGGGAGGGATGCATACAGGCCTTTTATTGCTTTTACCTGTTGCCCTGTGTGCTATGTACCGCTTTGGGTGAATAAATAATGCTTTGTTTTGAAGAAGCTGCTTTTGAGTCACTTTAACCAGCTCACTGGTCACAGGCTCCTGCAGGAAAAGGTCTACAAGTGCCAAGAGCAGTTGGGCCTATTGGGTTAACGCGATTGGGAACCAGTAGGGCTGCAGGTTGTGGCTCCAGTCTCAGAGTGGTAGGGACAATGGTATGGTTCCATCTTGAGACAGGTGAAGAGAGCTAGGCCTGTCACCAGAGGGGTGCACTCAGGAGAGACTAAAGGGGCTCTAAAGCCCAGCTTGCCTAGTAACCATGACAATCACTGATAATTTGCTGACTTCGGGCTTGTCTACGTGGTGCTGGCAAAGTGGTGTAATTTGTAAAGCAAACTAACTGCCCTGTGTGAACCCTGCTGCACACTAAAGGTACCTAGTTCACATTAACATAGTCTTGTTTGAAACAGGACTGTGTTAATACAAGCTAGACACTGTGTAGAGCATGGCAGCTGAATCTACATGGAGCAGTCAGAGCGTAGCACATTAGTGTACTTTACAAATCATCACTCTGGTGCGCTTTGCTGGTGCTGTGTACACAAGCCTCCTGTTCACATTTAAAATGTGGGGGGTGCTGCCTAATTACGATTGATGAGAGAAGTTCCAGGGTTTCCATTTCCTGAGTAGATAAGGGTGTGAGCACTTCCAACGTGAGTACCTCACTCATGCACATTTCAAATTCATTTTCTGCAAATACTCATGCATCTGACCTTGAACAGCCCTTTTTCACAACCATTCAGGCCAGTTGGTAGATTGGCCTTATTATTCCCATTTTACAGATGGGGCAACTGAAGGAGAGAGGTTAAGTGGCTTATTCAAGGACACACTGTAAGTCCCTGGCAGACCTCCTGATTTCCACTCATGTTCTAACCACTAGACAACACTTCTTCTGGTGGGCCAATTATATGCTGATATTTTCAGGGCCATACTCAGGAGTGCAAAACTTTGTGGCATCATGGGAACATTTGCTCCATGTGGCAAACACCGTGGGTCAGATTTCCAGGTGGAGTAAATCAGTGTAGCTCTATTAGCTTCAGTTAAACTATGTCAATTTACAGCAGCTGAGAATCTAGCCCACACTGTGCATTCCTTGAGGCTCAAGTAAGCAGAGTGCATTATACACGAGTTCTTGTGAAGATATTGGGTTATACCTCAGCATGCCTACTGCCTTCAGCTCCTTCATGCAGCCTGTCATTATGGGAACGTTGTGTACAGGAAGAGAAAGTAAAGCAGTGGCTAGAGCACTGGTCTGGGGCTCAGCCAGGCTGAGTTCTAGCTCTGACTCAGCTGTGTACTGTATGCTAAATTAGGTAACCTGCCTGTAAAATGGAAGGAAGAATACTCAAGTACTTTGAGAGCTGTGGATGAAAGTATTATATTAGTGCCAACGCACTATTCTTGTAACTCAGCTTTGAAGTCTCCATTGTGAAACTCTTCATTTGTGAGGCTGCCACAGTTAGTTGCACAGAGTCCATTTTTCAGTTTCAGCAACAAATGAATACGTGCAAACTGGGTGTGGCAACTGCAGCAAGAATTTTCTTGTTCAGACTCAACAGGACATAATGTAGCTCCTTACGTTTACAACCACAACTTTCAAGTTGTTGGCTGTTTATCCCAAGTTCAGGCCGTTATAATCTTCCTATTGATAATGACCCTACAGCAGGCTTGGAAAATGTTAGTGTCTATAAAGCCTCAGAAGCAAACTATGAATTGGAAGGTACAGGTTGTAGGGAAGTAAATTATTCTTTATTAGATGGGAGAGGGAATCAAAGTTAAGGTAACATTTTTATTTCAGGGCTGCTACTAAGACTATTCATTTTCAGTAACAGAAAAGAAGTGGAGTTGCAAGTCAACAATAAATTCAAATTGACAGAGGCAATTTTGCAACAGTCTGGAGAATCAATGCAGAAATACAGTTTTACTGCAGCCTGTTATTTCCAGCAACTATGTTTGTCTCATCGGTGAGTCTTCGACTGTCTTAATGAGAATAACAGGCAGCAGTTACATTACAACAGCATGAAAAATGGGTGGAGAGGGGGAGAGACA